TACACCTAGAGTTTTTTGGACAGTCTCTCTTGACTTCAATGAAGAACTTTTTTTTCTTTTTGAGACAGCATTTCATTATGTAGCCCATCCTAGCCTCAAATTCATAATCCTCCTTTCTCATCCTTCCAAGTGCTAGGACTGCAGGTGTGTACCCACACCTGGCTCAAGAAAGAACTCTTAAGGTATATAAAATGTATTTGGAGAACATGGGCAATTAATGTATCAACACTCAAAACCTATACCAGGTCCTAAGTATTGCACTGAAGAATTTTTAAATTCCAAGAATTTCTAAAAACTAATCATTTATAAAGGTTCAATTAACAGTATTGAGGAAATGAAAACACTTAAGTAACATAACATGTTTGGGGATGTATTTGATACATAGTCACTGATTTTTTTCTAGCAATTAACTAAAACACAAAACTTCTAGTCTTGTTTGAATAATTTCATTCATCTACACATTATTACAAAACAGAGTGCATATTTAAGACATGTAAGAATGAGTGATTCACTAAGAATATGCAAAGTTGACTACATTCAGAACATTCTGTATAAGGCCAATGAGTTAGTCACTTCTAATTCACAGCGGACCAAAATGAAAAAACTTCCTAGACTTATTATTGGTTGCATTTTAAACATACACAGAAAACCAAAATGGAACAACTTCCTCGACTTGTTACTGGCTGCATTTTAAACAAATATAGAAACATATTCCCTAGAAATGCAACAAAAATATATCTCATCCTTTGTCTTAATTCCTGAAGCATAGTCAATATCACATATTACAACCAAATAAGACTTCCATCCCATCAGCTCATATTCAGTTCATGAGAAATGCCTGCCAAACCCCTCACTGTCACATGTCTGGAATTATATAACACTTGATGCAGTAGGATTAATTTCCTTTTCCTTGTGTTTGCTGAAATAATACCAGGCTTTAGAAACTTTCTGGCAGGTCCCTTTGTCATCGATAAAAAATGAGATGTACGCTCATGATAATGTTACTCATTTTATTAACTGAATAATTTTAGATAAGTCCTAACACTATTAAAATTTTTAAAGTACAAGATTTCTTGTTGGTAACTGTACTTTGCCTCTAAATTTCCAAGAGCATATCTGTGCACACACTTGTAAACCTTAGACCTGTTATGCTGGTGAGAGCAGAGTTCCACTTCAGACAGACCTAGAGATGGGTATCTTAAATTTCACCCAAAGAGTATCCTACACTCACCAACCATTCATGGTAAAGCAGTTAACTTTAATGTTCTCATTGTTTACCAGAAAGCACAGACAGTGAGGCTGGCTTTGTGGCTCCTGTTTCCTTTTGCAAGGCTGCTGAGCTTTTTCAGCCAATTGACTTTGCTTTGAGTCTATAAATATCTGAAAAATGTTCTGCATTTGATGCTCTTGGATTCTGCATCCATATTTAGCTGTTTGTGGTATGCCTTTGTTTAAGCTACTCTACTACCCATAAGATCAGTCAGGTTGAGATCTAGAAGGTTAAAGGACAGATGGATCAACATTCAAGAGACACTGGTACCAATCTGCTAGACAGGATAACATGGAAAGGGGTGGCAGGATAGACATATAAACAAGACAGACTTCCTGATGTCAAAAATTTTTATAGTCAACAGTCTTGCAAGGGCACAATTTATTGTATTACTGAAACAAAACAAATGAAACATTTTAAAACTAAGAGAAAATAAAGGACAGACAGCATAAATATTTTCTCTTAGCAGTGTCTCAAAGTTGTGCACTTCTTTGTGTTCTAAATATAGAGCCACATTATTATAAAGCTCTGAACATAGTCCAAAGAAGTTTTCCAAATCATAGCAATACTCAAAGCTCTGGATATTTATCGACCAAAAAACCAAACCTGTCAACATCGAAATAAAAGCAGTTTCAGTCTTCAAATTCTGTGCACCAAACTAAGAAAATACCATTCTTGAAAGTTTCTATTAAGACACTCTTGGGGGCAGAAGGTACTTTTGTTGTTGTTTATTTGTTTGTATAACAAATAATGTTTTCAAAGAGATGTATATTGCAGAGGATGCAAGCTGTAGCCAACAGACAGCAACACCTAACACAGCTTCTCATTATACCCTCTTTAAAACCCATGTGGCTATTTTAGGTTCGGTCTCCAAACTGTATGAGCTAGACATGGGCAATATCCCTAAACCCATCTTGCTATCTTGTAAGAACATTTCAAGCAAATACACATCTCATTCTGACATTTCTTCCTTCAAAACTCAGTTCCCTGACCTTTTGATAAAAGTGCTCCCAGGAATCTCCTGACAATAATGATATAAAAGCATTAAATTAAGGGCTTGGTCAGTAACTCACTCCAAAAATCAGGATGGACTCTGTAAACCAAGTTGTAGGTAAATAATGGGACAGCCACAAAATGAGCCAACTTTAAAGCTAAAAAGGATTATAGATACTAATTAGTTCAGATTCGAATTTTACACAAACACCTATAGCCAAGAAGTTTTAACTACTTGCCCAAACTTAGACAACTCATTTATGACAAAGCCAGAATGAAAACCCAGGCTCTCAATGCCCACCTGTACACTCTAGACCAGATTCTAATTCAATATCTGTATTTCTTTAAAACATACTAGACTACACTCATCAAGGTCTCTTTAAATTGTTCAGGAAACAGATGATCCAATACACAAAACAGACAAGAAATAAGATTTGAAAAAAAAAAACTAATATTCCCCAAATTGATTTTCCACATTCTATTATTTTTATTTCAAAGTTTTTCAAAGAATCATAAAAGAGGCAACTTAAAACTAGCTAAGAATATAGCCAAGAGTCATTCAAATAGTTTTGGAATATTTGTATCAAATTAAAGACAACAAAATTGCCTGCAGGATGAGCTGCCTTAAAACAAGGAAAGTAGCAGTACTAAACAATAAGTAAATACAATTTTTGGTTAATTGATAGAAATGACAAAATAAAAGTGATGCAGTAGAAATTCTTCATCTTGACCCAGAAATGCACAGCATACATGTGTTTGCATGTGTATGAATATATGTGGGTGTGTGTACCTATTACTACAGTTTCCATAATGTATACATTATGTATACTAAGTGAAATGTAGAACTAGGGAGGTAAAACTATTCACCCAAAAGACAGCCAAGTTGTGGCAAAGCCAGAAGGAAAAAGGAAAAACCAGGTTCTCAACCTCCAGTCAAATGCTCTAGACTTTGATTCTGTATTTTTTTTTTCTATGCTGGAAATTGAACTCAGGACCTTATGCACTTAACCACTCAGCCACATCCCCAGCCCCCAATTTCTAGATTTCTTTAAAACAGGTTAGCACTGTGTATGTATATACACATCACAAATCAACTCTTAGAATGAACTATAAAACCAACATATATTTATGAGTTACATGCAAAGAATAATAGTTAACACAAGACTTAGAAAGCCCAACATTTTAGACAATGAAATACTAATATTATATATTCTTACAGTAACATGGCCCTATCTTTAATATATTAAAAAAACAGTATGCCAAAGTGCATACAGAAGATAGAATAAATAAATGTTGCAACCACAATACACTCTAATTCATACTCATTTTCAGACACTCATCAACTTTTGTTGTAAGTGAGCAGCTAAACAGGATTAAAAGGCAGATGGAAAACCAGACACCGAAGTTTTTAATCTAATCTGCTAAGAATGAACTGGGTGACCTTGCATCATTTCCTACTTCTTTGTTTTAATTCTTCCAGGTAAGCAGAATAACATCAAGAGACACAAACACCCAGCAAAACACAAAATGGTACATACATAAATTCCTAACAAGAACTGATACAAAGAGTTCCTGTATTTTTATGACTGAAAAAGCCATTAGAGATTATTTAATCTACTCATTTTACAGATGAGGAATCAGAGGCAAAAAAGGTGACCTAATCTACCACAAAATCATTTAGCTATTCAGTGACAGAACTGAGACAAGAACTTCAAAAGTATGGATTCTTAGTACTGAGCTCCTTTAGACAGTGATGGACATGAAGTCCTAAAGCCAACTGAACTATCCAGAAAGATAATGTAAGCCATGGTTATTCTTGAATAACACACACATACCCTGTTCAGAAGTATGACAGCAAACCAAAAAAAAAAAAAAAAACCCATAATGTACCTGATCACTCCAGGCTTAGATGCATATGACTGCAGGATAACATCTCAACACTGTGTTTGATCCAAGATGCTTCAAATTTGCATTCTTACATTCAGCCACATTACTAATGTCTTTTTTTGTGGTCATGTAAGCTAAGTGATAAACATCTTGCCACTTTCAATATTTTGGAAAGCCACAGCTAAACTCTGAATGCCAGGCTATAAATCCTTAGGCTCTGAGTTTTCAAAACCAGCATGGTTTTAATGCTGCCACAAGCCTTACCTTAAGAGTCTCATCATTCAGTTTTAATTTAAAAGGTGGTGACTAGGAATGCAGGAAAGTTTTCATGTGTTTATCACTTTTAACCCACTAGTGGCAACCCAATCACTTTACAATGAAATTCAGCAACAACAGTGCAATCTGAAGCAATCTACCCACTTGGTAAGTGGTTGCTTTTGGAGAGTAAGGTTCAGGAAGAGGTTACAGATGACTCTGTGCCCACCAAATGCACACTGAGTTCTGATGTAGGGAGACTTTTTTTTTAATCTTTTCATTCATTAGTTTGTCTTCAGCTAAGCTTTTTCTTATCTGTGCAGTCTGTCCTCTCCCAACGAGAGGAAGAGATGAGACCCCACTCGCTTGGTTTCCTGGCTTGTGCATCCTATCTTCTTGAAGATCGGGTGGAGCCATCGCCCTTATAAGAATTATGTCTGGATAGCTCAACTCCAGAAACTTACAGCGGGTGTCTGAAGAGGTCCAAAGAGCACACTCAATCCCATCTCTACCTAGGTGCTGCTAATCGGATGTGAGATGGGAACCGGGAAGGGGAAATGAGACTTAGCCCAAGCAGAGCCTCGAGGGTCCTTACCGTACACCCGGACCCAGCTCTGCTGCTGGCACACGGACTCCAGGAGGATCCGATCCAACATGCCACCGACCATGGCTCCGCCGACGGGAACCACGGCGTCCAGATCCTCAGGGGGCAGTGGCGACTCGGACGACTCCAACCCCGGGAACATCTCCGGCCAGGACAGCGCCTCAGCGGCTCCTCCGGACGACGGCGAGAGCTCCATGGTGCCCCGGAGGGACCGGGCGACGCGCGGCGGCCGTGCGCCCAGCCTGCGGGAGGGACGGGGAGGCGACGAGCGCCGCGGCGGGGACGAGGTCCCGGGCGGCCGCGCCTCTCACTCCGGTTCCCCGCCCGCCGGAGGGCCGGGCGACGTAGCCCACCTGCGAGCCTAGGCTGCAACCCCGGGCCGGAGAGGCGTGGGGACCCGGCGTGGCCGCCGCCGCCGCCGCCGCGGCTGCCGGAGATACGAGCCGGCTCAGGTGCGGGTCCCTCCCTCCCGCGCCCTCGCAGCAGCCTCCCGCCGTCACACCAGGCTCGGGCTGGTGATGGAGCGGGGCCGGGAAGGGCTGGGCTTGGGGGCGTCACCGCCAGGGGCCGCCCCCTCCGACCGGCTCGCGCCGCCGCCGCCGCCGCCTGGGGCTCCGAGTGCCGCCGGCTCCTCAAGCCTGAGGGGGGCTATGGCCCCCGCCTTCGGGCTCCCTCCCCGAGTCCTCAGCTCTTTCTTGCGAAATAAGCCGGCCAACCCGCCCCCTAACTCTCCGGCCGCCGCTCCGGCTCCGGTTCCCGCTCCACTGAGGAACCCACAAGCCCCGCAGCCTTGGCGGTGGCGGCGGCAGGCGGCATCCCAGGGAGATAGGCCGGAGCAGTCGAGCGCCGAGAGCGCGGCCGCCTGTGCAATCGAGCAACGCCGCGGAGGAGGAGCGGCCACCAGGCAGGAGCAATCGAGCGCCGAGTTATCCATCTGGCCCGGCCACGCCTACCGCCTGGCCGAGCACAGGCTCAGTCTGCCCATCCCTAGCTCCAACAGCTTTGGGGAGGCGGCGAGGAAGAGGGATGCGGGAAATTTAAAAAGGACAAGGAGCTTCCCTTTCTTCTCACCTCTTTCCTGTATATTTCTGCACCGCGATTGGAAGGAGAGATGGGAAGGAGAGCTGGCAGTGGGTCTGGGATTGTGGGGTCTGTGCAGGCTCCGCGTTCTGCGCCGGGTACGTGCTGAAGCTGGACTTGTCATCGGTTTAGAATAGCATGGATAGAAGCGTGGTGTGGATGGGTGGACGGGTCTCGCCAGCACATGAAATGTTCTCAAGCACAGTTTTAACCAGCCTTCGCTTTTTTTTTTTTTTTTTTTTTTGGCCTTTGATCTTTGTGCACTATATTGGCTTTTTTTCCCTCTAATGATGTCATTTGTATTCTATTTTTGGTCTATTTTTAGACTTTCTCCCTCCTCGATCTTGGCTTTACTTTCATGCCCGCCCAAGGCGGGATTCATCCGTTCAGGTTTAACAGATTGCAGGCAAAATAATAGTAATGATCATTTCAAGTCTGAACACCAACAACGTAAACTGTGCTTTGCACGTTGTAGGTCTTCAACAATTCGTGAACATGGCTGCTTAAAATGGAGCAGGATTCTACCATCATGACATGTTGCTGGGTTTGGTTTTGCTTAGTTTTGTTTTGGGAGTTTGGTTTAGTTACACACACACACACACACACACACACATACACACACACACACGTCTCCCTACTTTGCCCCAGAAAGACTGGTCTACGTAGGAGTCATCTTAGTTTTCCAGTTTTGGGGTATCCTAGTGTGTTTGGGCTTTTCAGGAGTTAGGAGGGTGCATTTTGTAATTTTCTCCCAACTCTTATTTAGACTAATAGCATTTCTAAACAAGAAATGATCAAAGAGATGATCTCATTCTGGCTCTCCTTTAACAAGACAAAACAGGAACAGCAAGGTTACCTGGCAAATCAACCACCGGTACAGATATGAATGAAATCTCTTGATGATATTGATTACTTAAAGAACACTTTGTGATTAAACTTGTTACTTGGCCATATGCTGAAGTGATCCTTTCCAATATTTAGAACCCTGTTTCCTTACTATCTGACTGCATAGTCAGTCTTCCAAGTCTAAACCATTATGTGTACTTTAGTGAATGAGAGGAGTTGAAACCTAGAGTTGGAAAGGCTCAGCTCTAAGCAGAGTTAGAGTAATTTCATTTTTGCTACATTCCTATTGGTGTCTTAGTAACATAAATCGGAGAGTGAATAATGGGCATAGGATTGATTTGAGTATCTCTTTCTTAATCAATATATAAGGAATTTATTAACCCAAGTGTTTATCTCAAAAGCAGAATTAGGAGTGGTTATGAAATTCAGAATTGTTTTCTCCAAATTTGATCTCTCGATGTCATCCATTCTTGAGTTGAAGACAAAGTCTCTGCCAACTCCCAGTAATCCTACTTTCTTAGTAATCTTTCTTTCTTCATCCAGACCGCTAAATACTGGTCCGCACTTCACCTCCTTATCCTGAGCTCAGGCTAGCTGCAGGTCATCATCTTCTTACCTAGGTAACAGTATGTCTGGAATTTATCTGATGCTCACACCTTAGAAAGAAAATACCTTCACAACCTTAATAATAATTCTATGAGATAAGCAGAACCAGTATTTCTTTTTTGTTTGTTTGTTGTTTTTTTCTTTTTCTTTTTGTCAGTACTGGGGCTTGAACTCAGTGTCTCACACTTTCTACCACTTGATCCACTCCGCAAACCCAGAATCAGTATTTTTTGGCGGGGAGCACTGGTGTTTGAACTCAGAGCCTCATGCTTGCTAGCCAGACACTCTGACCACTGAGCTACTCTACCAGCCCTTTTTTGGTGATGGGTTTTTTTCAATATAGGGTCTCAAGAACTATTTGCCCCTGGCTGGCTTTGAACCACAATCCTCCTGATCTCTGCCTCCTGAGTAGCTAGGTATGAGCCACCAGTGCCCCACTCAGAACCAGTATTTCTTAAACCATCATTTAGCCAGTGAGAAAACTAGAAGCATAGAATTCTATTAACCAATCTATTTAAAGATAGAAACTTAGTAGACTGACATTGAAACTCTTGTCTTTTTTTTTTTAAGCAGGTGGAGTTGTTCTGATATTTGTGGAACAAAAGGGGAAGATTTTGATGTATTTGTAAATTATTATCATTAAGAACAATAGAGCAGAAAGTTATAAGCCAATTTGCATTGTTAGGAGGCAGTTACTCCCATTTGTATTTATACCAGTGGTATCTCCATAGTGTAATCTCAGATTTTAATGAGAGAGAAATCTTTTCTGATGAAATCTTAGTTTACCTTGTAGTTTGCAAATCATCCTTTCTGTGTGAACTACAAAAGAAGTCTCATTTCCCTGCCTGCCCTCTCCCCTCTTCCTTGCTCCCTGCTCTAGAGCTGTGGACACTAAACTCAGAGGCGATCTACATATTTATTGTCATTGGAACTTATAACCCCAAGAATCAAACCCAATAACCAGGACAGGGGAGAGCTGAAATTGGAAACTTGTGGAGAACAAAAATAATAAATTACCTAGTTAATGGCCTAAAAAGCAAAAGCTGGCAACAGTCTGAAATTTCTAAAAGAAAGTAAGAAGATGTCATTGGTCCTGAGTACACATTACTAACATTAAGGAGAGATAAGAGTTTGGAATCTTGGCTATCACAACCTGAGGACCAGGTGTGTATCCTATTTTCTCTTCCATTTACTTGTCAGAGAACACACACGCCACACATAAGGAGTTCCCTCTTCACAAATGCTGTTGACTAGTTTCTTGCAGCCAGTCCCCTTCCTGACTGGTTAGGCACTACCTCTCAGCAGTGAGTTCCCAAAATGATAATGCAGCTTTTAAACTGTGGTTCACCAGCACCCACTTTCTGTATTTTCTCTCCCCTTGGACATAGCAATATAGTTTTCTCCCAATCATATTCTATAATATTGCCCATTAGGAGAGAATTTAGATGTTTCCCCAAGACTCTTCTCTGTTTTCTTCCACCTCACTCTCCAGTTTCTTGGTGATCTATGCACTTCTGTGATTTCAGTGCTCACTTGAATAATAGTGATTTTGAGATACCCATCTCCAACCTCATCCAAAGTACTGAGGTCCAGTCAGAAGTTCCTAAGAGTGGAACACCTCCACCAAGGTTTGTTTACTGGACTTTATACTCAATGGATGGCAAATAATCTCTTCGTGTTCCCCTTTCCCCTTGCCCAAATACCCTTCCTTTTCTTGAATTCTCTTTTCATGTTAAAGGAGCTAGTAAGTTCTACTTCAGACTTGCTTAACATGGAGTTACCTGTGAGTACTCTCCTCCACCCTAGCTTGCACAAACCCAACCCGGCTTTCTATTCCTACTGATCTTCTCCTGACTCAGATCTAGTCAGCTGTCCTCTTTCCCTTGAGGACTCTCCACCTCCAGTTTCTCTTATACTCTGTTGTAGGTGAATTATTCTAGGACACAGTCCAGACCAGGCCATATCTCAAAAACCAAAACACAAACCATAAACAAACAAAAAAATTAGCTCGCTACTGCCGACTAAGTAAAATGCACTTCATCCTGAGTGTAAAAGAGCCTCCCAAAAGTGATCCCAAACTACCATTGCTACCTCACTCCTTGCTTCTATTTAGCTAACTGCAATGGCTCACTGTTCCCCAAACATAACTCACACTTTCCTTGCTCCTTGCCACTGCCTAATTGTTTCTTCACCTGCAGTCTCCTCTTCTCCATCTCTGCCTGCCAGAAATTGATCCATCAAATACCAATATCCTCTTCCATCAAGTCATTCCATATCTTCCGAGCTGGCAATGGCTTCGGCCTCCTCTAAATTTCCATACCATTTGCTCCTGTTTGTCTTCTGTAATCAATCCCAGTATATATTGTAGTATAGTCTTTTGTACAACTTCTGCCAGGACAACATAGCAAGACCTCATCTTACAAAAATAGATAAATAAAAGTGACTTGACTTGCCAAGGTCATATTTCTAGTGTCACAAGAAGGATTCAAATTCAGATCTCCTGAATCTCAATTCATCAGCTCTATCAAAAGATTAATTACTTCCCACCCTTTTCTGTCCTCTAGCTGGATATTTTTCTTGTTGATACAGATTTTCTCAGTAATCTTATTCTTTTACATATTATTTAAGCTTAAAGCATTTGTACCACATTCCTAGGCCCACATATAATTTTAGCAAAATTGTACTTTTTTTTTAACCATAGGACCAAACAGAGACATTAGAGAAACATCTGGTCTGATTCATCAGGGTAGCAGCAACATTTCTATTTATACATGAGCACAGGCCCTATC